GGTGTCCCAAAAATGTCTCGCAATCCGAAAGTGGCAGGTTCCTCGGGTCATTCGAAGCAACTTTTTCCTTTACAAAAATGTTCTCCGAGGCACCGTTAACGAGTTATCAACGAAAAACAGTGACCAATGAGAGGCGAGCTTAGTTGGCGCGTGGCGGCCGAGCCAACGGCGCCAGCGGTCGAGGCGGACGAATCCCAGCTCAGCTGGCGCGAGGCGACCGAGCCAATGAGCGGAACTGGGCTTTGTGCGCTGCTTGGCTGGACCGCCTCGCGTCAGCCGTACTCGATTCTTATTGGTCACTGGTTTTCGTTAATAACTCGTTAACGGTGCCTCGGAGAACATTTTTGTAAAGGAAGAAGCTGTTTCAAATGATCCGAGGAACCCGCCATTTCCGGATTGTGAGACATTTTTGGGACACACGGTATATTACTATTTCATTATTATACTGTTTCGTTGTTTTAGGCTTTGAGGGAGATACGCGTAAAATCGATCGTGATCCCAAAAGATATAATGAACAATGAATTTCCGCTACAATTCAAAAATATCTTTTACATTTAAAAATTTTGTCTTGTTGCTTTCTTCTATGAAAATACGATCACGAACAGGTTTTATGAATTGGCAGAGTCCTTTATGTCAATTTATAAACATGATCCGACATGCTATTAACCCTTTGCACTCGAGTGGTGACCCTGAGGCACCGCTAAAATCGTTATATCACGTTCCAAGATAATTTTTATATCAACAAAGTTTAGATTTAAAAACTTATTATGCTATAAAAAAGAATAATAAAAAAAATTATTTTTAAAAAATTGTTATAAATTGCACTTTGTCGTGTAAAATGGAAATACTATAAGTCGGAGAAATGATTTTAGATTTACAGTTGAAATGGCTTCGAGTGCAAAGGGTTAATAAGATCTCTTCAAAAAATATGTATCACCTGAACGTGGAAACAGTTTCAATTATCACACAAATTGAGGAAACAATTCGGCAAAACGAACTCATAGTTTTCCAATATATTCGGGCACCGAACCCATTCGGGTGCAGCGATGCGAATGATCGTTATGAATTCTCATCCGAAAAAGCACGAAGCATCTGAAATTTTAAGCGATGCCAGTTTTAAGCTCGACGCTATTAGGTTAACGAGATCCATAGACGCTTATAGACACGTCAAATTCTGCGCCGGGCTTGTTATACCTCAGAAAATTTATATCCTACTCGTTATACTCTCGGGATCGATGCGTCGTGTTCGACGTTTGATAGATTCGTTATGAATTCGCTATAAAAGCTCTCTATTTTCGCTCTATTTCTGGCAAAGTTTCCGCAAGCTTTACGCCGCGCTATACACAGCTTTCACAGGCTATAAAGAATTTGCGGCGATCTTTATCCGTTCTAACGAGTCTGTTATAGCACTTGTCGCGCCTAATGAATTAGTTATCCCTCGTATCAGTCCTGATCTTTATTGCGTCCACTGAGACTGCCGTGTACAAGGCCGAGTCCGATGGCTATAGCGTGGCTCGCATCGAACCCATTGTGTTCACTGCGATTGTATATTCTCTTGCGAATCTGAATTTGTCTTACGCATTAGTATCTCGAACATGGTGATACTTGCGACTGTGATTTGTCTTTATGCGTCTATTGTTGTGTTCGTTCGATTGGATTTTATGTCTCCCGTCGCAAGTGCATTGTCTCGGACCATTGCATCGGTGGAAATGGGACCATGCGGTTTAACGATACGGATTAACCCTTTGCACTCGAAGCCATTTTGACCATAAATCTAAAATAATTTTTCTGACTTATGGTATTTCCATTTTATACGACAAAGTGCATTTTATGCATATGAAATTGAATCTTGCGATAACTTGTGATGACAGTTACACTTTTAACAATCTTTTCAATTTAAACTTCGTTAATATAAAAATTATCTTGGAACGCGAACTAATAATTTTAGTTTAGTGCCTCAGAGTCACCACTCGAGTGCAAAGGGTTAAGAGCCTCGGTCATCGAATTAGGATCGCTTGCAAGTATTTCACTTTTCTGCGATATGATTACGTTACATATGAAATATGCAAATATGCAAAAGACCGGCTCATTTTGACGATTGATTCATTGTTATCGATAACACTTCTTCGACGGATCGAAGATCGATCTAATTATTGGATCAACCAGCCGAATGATATCGAAAATTGCGGATACGTCGAAAATAACAGAGGTATGAAAGATATGATAATAGGATTTGCACGGTACAGCGGGCAGAAGACCCGATTATTTGAGATTTATTCCGATTTTCGGTCCAGTATTCCAATGTTTCCAGCGTGTATTGTCAGGACTATTCTGCATTCCGATTTTCAAATGTTCGTTTTAGCCTTCGTTTCCTATTTCATGCGATTGTTACGATTGAATGCTGGGGCATTTGCATCGTTTCGTGTCACCATATGATACGAAAAACAGAGAGATAGTTCTGGTCTATTTGCGAAATAGCACGAAATCTGTACTTTTGCACGACAAACGCGCCAACAAATTTATCTCTTAATTTCGTTTTCTCGTTAATTGCCTTAATTTTTCATTGCTTGGATTTGGTCATCCCAATATCCAATCACAGTGATGTATCGATCAATCGATCATATCACACTGGTGCGTCAAATTTCAGTGCATTCGGCTTGTTTCCTGGCACAATTAACTTTATATTCACCGAATAAGTCATATTAAATTAAATAAAAAAAAAACAAAGGCACAGCAATTGGTCATCCCGCAGTCAGCGGTTCCCCCATTCCATAAAACCGTAAAATCGAACTTGACGATCGTTAGACCGCGGATTTGATGCGTTTATGACAAAAAGTGGGCAAATGAAAGTTAAAACAGTGAAAGCATTCGAAGAAACTGAGAGCGTCGATGTGTTAATTTGAACTTATCAAAATTATTTCAGAAACAAACCAAACTCTACCCGACTCCTATAACTTGCACCAGACGCATACGCTTCGTTCGAGCTCTAAAATCGCGCGAACAAATTGGAAAATGTCGAAATCGAGCGATCATATTTCGACGATTCGAGGCTACAATGTTGATCGAAAATTCTGGAACGCGGATACAATATACATATATATACTCACGTCATTGCTTGGTAGATACTCTCGATACCGTATCGCATAGCAAACTCGTCGACAAGTTCTTCTCCGAGTGGATCGAAGTACACCTTCCAAGCGTCGTCACCCTTCGCTTGAGGCAGTGCCACGACGCCACAGTTCTTCTCGCACAGGCTATGGAAGAGGTTTTCGTGTAGGCAGGTGTACTGGGTGTGATAAGGTGCGACCTTCTCTTCTCCTTTGATCTCGACGCTGATGTGGAGCCTAATCGCGCCGGACACCGCGCTCTTGTCCGTTCTCTTCTCCAGATTGTACCAGACATCCATCTCGCCGCTGAGCGTTCTCACCTCGATGATGGTCTGCCCGAGGAAGTCGTCGCTTTCCCTCGTCAGTTTCTGCCGCAGCTTCGACTTCAGATCGTTGTCCTCGTCCCACACTCTCACTTTTATTCTGTCGGATGAGTTATGGCACTCGCTGCAAAAACGAAACGCGAACATTTCGTTATTCGTTGCCCTTCGCAAGAGATCTTTCATTCGTTCTAGATAAGTGTTTCGAGTCTGTACGACCCAGATCGTATATTAGGCTTATCACTTTTTTGATTGGCTAACCTGTTTTGTTACACCTGTTTTATTAGCCTGCTCTATATTTTATCCTTTCACAGTCAGTCTCATAAGTATTCGTTCTCTCATTGCTTCTAAGAAAAATTTGTTGAAATCAAACGATGCTAAGATTTTGCAATAAACTTTTTACTATAAATGAATACATAAAGTTTATTTATACCAAGTTATAACAAAATTGATTAACTGATAACAAACATATATTGATTTTACTGTGCATAGTTCGTAATAACAGTCGACAAAAGCATTCGTGTCAGTGTAGATTTTATAAAAAGAATCGCATATTATAGTAGCTTTTTTACTTTGTATTAATTTTCTAGTATTTAGTGGGTCCACCTTTATGCCTTATTACATCGTTTAATCGATTTGGCATACTATCTACCAGTTTTAAAGCGATATTTGGTTCGACACTACTCCAAACTTCCAAAATATTTCCTTTCAGCATTTGTTTATTGGAAATTTCAGTGCAAGTATCAACGTAGGAGTTCTTTATGCATTTCAAGATCTATAGAGTCTGTAGAATCCAACGATCTACTCTTCTCGATTCTACTTATAATTTATCTAACCATGTCCACATAATCGTTCACCCTTGTTTATTTTCGTCGATTGCGCAGAAAGACTCCCGCGTAATCGATAGAGCGAATTATAACCAGATACGGTTACCAATTATATAAAATTCTGTCTACGTAACACACTAAGAATCGTCGTTTTCGCATGCACGGTTATGCACAATTCGGGCGCGAACGTCAAACGGATGCGATATAATAAAAATTTCGTGCGGTCGCGACGGAATCGAGTGGAAAAGTATGGGCGTTCGTTCGAATCGTTTTCCGGATACTCGCATTAATTCGCTCGGTCATTAGGAGCGCTCGTGATCGGAATGTTGCGCAGGAGTCACGGCAATCACGGTACACGTAATCTGGATATTAATTTTCCTTTCGTCCGTTCGAGCCGAACCGCGCCGGCGGCGGAACGTATTCCCCGTGTTCGCGGAATGGTAATGGAATTACTCACAAGTAGAACTTCTCGTGCCAAACCGGATTCAATTCTCTTGGCATCGTTCTGGTGCGCTTCTTCACTTTCCCGACTTGGACCGTCACGTAAGGATCAGACGTGCCGCTCTTGTCTTTGGCGATCAGTCCCTGGGCGCATTTCACTGTGGAAGCGAGAATCGATGGTTAGTTAATTATCCTTGCGTTCATCTGCCTGACACGGGACGCGCTCAAAGGAATATCGAGTTTCTCTGAATTAGGGTACCGTGATCCCTTTCGGTATTAATAATCCCCGTCTGTTCCCGTACTTACCAGAGGAATCGACACATTCGGACTGTTTGACATTCGAAAATTCGCACCTGTTGCCATATCCAAGAAAAGGAACGCAAAGCTTGCCTGCTCCACCGTCGTCGTCGTCGTCGTCTCTGTTTTCTTCGAAAGTATTTCACGTATTTTCTACTCTTTTTTTTATATCCGCCGACAATTCCGAGCGCGTTTATCTCGCGTAGGACGAACACGAGGCATTAATTGCCCTCGGTTACGCAACGCGACGTTAATATCATTGTTACCGTGAAAAATGAACGGCCGCTCGGAGCGTTACGAGATTACTATCGTTCGAGTGACAATGACGAAGAATACGAGCGGCGCCTATCTGCATTCTCCATCTTGACGGAGAACAGGGATCGCGAGATGACGTTCGGTACTAATGGATTCCATTTGAACTCGTTGCGATTAATTAAGCTTGCAACGATCCCGTCCGTCCTGCGACGTATTATAATGGCAGTCTCTTTATCGCGATAAAAAACGTTGCTTTATAGAACCGTAGCGCAACGAATCTTGATGGAACTTATGGCAACGATTTGAACTACTTCGAAGTATAGACCGCGTCGGCTTAAAAGATCACGCGTTTCTCCGACGACGATCCTTTTATTCTCTCATCGACGCGACGCTAGAATTAACGACATTAATGACAGAATGAAACGCGCGACTTCTTTGCAAAGGCTCGCAGAGACGGTCGAGTCTTTAGAAACGCTTTCGTGAAATGTCAAATCGTACAGGAGAAGAGCTCGCTCTTCATCGGAAAGAAGAAATTCTCTGTTTAAACGTATTTCTCTGTAACCCTTAGCGCTCCGAAGGCTCCGCTACGGAGACATTTGTCATTTGTTCCGTAACTCCGAAGGCTCCGCTGCGGAGCCAAATGTGTTTAGCATACGTTATCGTCGAAGTTAGTAATTGTTATCTGTAGTTAAAACGTGCCAAGTCTGTACCATTACGATTAAACCATTTTTTGACCCTTTCTATGGTTAGCAACATGGAGAAAAATAAATATTACGATGAGAATTTAGAGTCGAGTGATACCGAAGACGTACTTGATTTCGAAGAGTTGAAAGACATTGTGGAAGACAATGTTGGTTATGATTCTGACACTTCGAGTAGTAGTAACGAAATTATACTACCAAAGAGACGAAGAATGAGAATTATTGAAAGCGAAAGCGAAGATTCGTTACAAGACTTGGACGAATGGCGCGATGTTACGGAAGAATTACACATTCCAGATAGAATACCTTTTAGCGTATTGCCACAGGTCGTTGGACCACAAGTTCCTACAAACGTTGAACAGCCGATGCAATATTTTAAATTATTTCTCACGGACGAATTGGTAAATGAAATTATAAAGGAAACCAACGCGGAAACCAACCAAAGGATTACGCGGAAAATGTTCTAAACTTGAAAGAAATATCTGGTAACTCTATTTGGCAAAGCGAATACTGCGACACTTGTCCAAGTAAACCCAGAATGCGCATGGGAGATTGTTACCAAAGATATCGCACCACGGTGAATTACGAAATTGAAAATTTATCTTTTATTTACAATAGGAAAATGTATATTTATAAAATCAATAAAATCAAATGCGTTCGCAAGGACGTGTAATCTTTTCCGCTGAAAATAAGACTTCCTTTATCTCGGGCACTCCGCTCAAAAAATGTGCCGGAGTTGCTCGTAGGCGGTTCTCTAGAAACGCGCGGAGCGCTAAGGGTTAAAGAAATTTAATTTTGACTTTAAACATCTTTGTCTTACGTGAACTCGAATAAGCTTTGCTCGAACCTTCGACGGCATTCGAAGCAATTTCTAGTAAATATTGTTCGTTAACAAAGACAAAAAGCAAAATTATTTCCCTACTTCAATGAATTTTGACAATTAATCGATGATCGAGCAATTATAATTGAGTTACTCGGTTGTCGCGGCTCTTTTAATATGCGCAGAGCTTTATGAAAACGTTTTTCAAGGAGAGATATCAACAGCGAAATGCAAACGGGGAGCGCTAAGGGTTAGATTTCGAATTAGACGGTCGCAGGGAGGAAAGTGAACCGAGGATTGAGATCGTAGAATTTGTAAATCGACCGACAACGTGATTTCCGGAATTTGGAAAAGAACGCGAGTTCGTTTAACCCGAGAAAGATAACCTACGTCGCAGAGGCGCCTGCGAAGACTGTTGATTTTTGTTAATTTTTCATAGAGGTCTAGTGATTTAAGTTTAAAATTACTTAAAATATAAAAAAATATAATATAAATGCATTTTATTTTTACAATAATGCCAAACCTTTAAAATGACTAGATTAACTTAAATAAATATCCATTGTTAGTATAAAATTGGCGCCTTAGAAAAGCATGCGCCTCTGAAGCGTATGGTTATCTTTTACGTACGTTGTCATATGGTTATCTTTCTAGGGTTAATGTGTTCGAACAATGGCGCTCCGCTCCAAAAATGTGGCGGAGTTGCTGGTAGGCGGTACTCTAGAAACGCGCGGAGCGCTAAGGGTTAACAATCTATTACGCGTTGGTTCTAGTTCGAATGTTCGAACGTTCGCGTTGTTTCAATTTTACGTTGAAAGTCGTTCGGAGCGCTAACGGCCGAACGGGATCGTGGAAAAGCCAATAAAATCGCAAGACCGATGTCCGTGGCCGACGGTGCTCGCCAGGATTAAGGGGAATGTTTAAGAAGCGATCCGAGTTAGAACATGTTACGATCCGTTCGAGCAGCTCGATTCGCTCGGGAACCGTTCGCGTCCGCATGATCAGTCGGGAATAAGGGTTACGAGTTTCGAAACTGGGCCGCACCCATCGCGGACCGCTGAAACTTTTAGTGGCGCTGTACGTGTAGACCGGCTAACGCGTGTCGACTCGACATAAACACATGCTAGGGCAGACAATCCACGTGCCTGTACTCCACAGAGAATTCCGCAGGGCGCCACGGGGATGCCGAATGCAACCGAAATAGACGGACGATTTTTCCGAAAATTTGCTCGGAAATCGTGGAACGAAAGTTTGAGAAAACTTCGAACGTGGACGTGATTCGATAATGATTTTGGAATCGTCGTTTCGAACAGAGTTCGCCGGAAAGTAATCGGATTAATGATCGACGATTACGGCTAACGCGAATCATGTTCACGATTGATAATCGCGATTACTAAGCGATCATAGTAATCGTGATCAACGAATGATTTACACTCGAGTAATCGAAGCAAATGTAATCGTTGGTTGCGATGAATGCAGTAATCAGTTATTGATTACTTTCTTTGATTATGATCGATCGAAAGATTTGGTGTTATGGTAGCTAACAATTCTGAATAGTTTTTAGAAAATCTGCGTATATTTCGCGACTCGAAGGAAACCTTTTTCTTTACCTTGGCTCCTCGTTTGGATCCAATAGAAAGTGACGAGAAAAGATAAATGAATCATTCGTCCGCGATTACGGATTACTGATTAATGATCATGGGTTTCCAAATGTAATCATTATTACTGATTAATGATTACGATTACCAAGTGTAATCATGATTACTGAATAACGATTACGATTACCAAGTGCAATCATTATTACTGAATAACGATTACGATTACCAAGTGTAATCATGATTACTGAATAACGATTACGATTACCAAGTGCAATCATTATTACTGAATAACGATTACGATTACCAAGTGTAATCATGATTACTGAATAACGATTACGATCACCAAATGCAGTCATAATTACAGATCAATGATTACGATTACCATAATTACGTTTCGTAATCAATTACAAGAATAATCACAAAATAATAATAATAATAATAGTCAACCCAACCGTGGTTTCGAACTGTTTTTACGGAAGCTGGACTTTTGGGAATCCTCTTCGCAAACGTTTGCCCGAGGCTCCGCCCTCGAGGTCCGTTAAATTCGTGTAATTCTCAGCTTTGCGTTCGCATCGTTGGACAATGGACAACAGGTGAACAACTCGCTCGAAATCGTGTTTACCTTTGACTCTGGCCGGCATGGAAGAATCGTGGCAATTAATTATATCATCCGCGCAAACAACACCGAACACCAAAAAACATTTTTCATCGTGTCGTAAACCGCGTGGGATTAACCGGGGTTCAACGTCGTTCCCGTTTCTTTCGCCGCGCGTTTTAATTTACTACCCGCTTCGCTTCGTTCAATTTGTCTTTCTTACGGAACCGGAGAGGGAAACATCGGGGGTTGAGGGGATAAACGTTCGTCCGAGAAACGGAATTTGGGTTTTTCGGGGGGGAAAATAGAACATATCCGAACGTATCGTATATACTTGACCGAGAGAATAGAATCGAGAAGGTGGAAAAAACCGCATTCGCGTACATTTACCACTTCTATTATCGGACGATCATACCGATAGGCTCATGCACATCTAACAGTGTAACAACCATCGAACCGAGCACTCAGAGGTCACGTTTTCCTGGCAGCCACCTCGTAAGCGTGCAGAAGCTCGGCGTGAGTCGTGTGGATAAAGGTAACATATAGACGGCTATGGTCTGGCACGGCGCGGCAACTCCGTAAAACCGGGGGAGAATAATAAATTCCGGGAGGGTGAGACCTCGCGAATATTCACGCACTAATAATAGACGCCCGTGATTAAGGAAACTTCTCCGTACGATCTTCTCACCCTCGTTAAATAATCAACGCAACGCACCCTACCCACGGCGCCGCTTAATATTTGAATCGTGCCAAGGAACGTTTTAATGCGCAAACACGCGGATTGACGTATTTAACACTAAACCTATACCAATCAGTAATACTAACTGGCGTGTACCGCTTCGCAAAAGTGAGAAGACCGAATTTATTTAGAATTTGTGAAGTTTTTATTATAAAA